ACTACCCTCCCCCCTCCCACCCTCCTCCACGGTATGGCTGTGCGCGCAGTGACAGACAGACGAGGAGAGATCTTGGCAGGAATGACTGTCACACCTTCAGCATCATCACTTATATGACTGTAACCATAGAATACACTGGCTCAATAGTTTTATCTTATATGATTGGAGTCTATACCTGAACACAGCCCGGCCAAGTGCAACTTGGGATGGTGGTGATATATATATATATATATATATATATAATTAATATATATATATATATATTAATATATATATATATATATATGTATATATATATATATATATATATATATAATTATTATATATATATATATATATATATATATATATATATATATATATATATATATATATATATATATATATATATATATATATATATATGTGTGTGTAATACATATATATATATATAATATATATATATATATATATATATTATATATAATATATATGCATGTACGTATATGTATACATATTTACATGTGTGTGTTTTGTACATATGTGCGTGTATATATATATATAGACATAAATAAAGATAGACCGTTATAAGAGTGCAGTTTCAACGTTTCCACTACTCGATTTGTTGTATTTTTATGAGGGAGAAATATTCTCTCAAAATAGTAATTTAAAGCGAAATATAGATATCTGTGTGCAGCTTTTATCGAATTTCCGACACATTTTTGCTTCTAAAATTCAGTTTCGAGGAGCTTTGAATAGCCAAAAGTGTTCTCCCCCTTCTTAAGCTGAAGTTGCTTGTTGCGGAATGTTCAGTGACACTTACTTGGTAAGGGCGTTCCTTCTCTACAGGGTGATTCAAACTTATACCGGCAAATTACAGGGTGAAGTGCTGGCATGCTAGTGAATACATTCCCACTTTTCTTCTTTGACCAAAAATAACTAGTGTGGCAGCCGAGTCCAGTGCCACGGCCGAATGATCGAACATTCAAACGAGCCCCGCGGCCCCACCCACGCGACCCATGCCTCACGTGTCTGGCCGCTTAGTCTCCTTCACGGGAGAAGATAGTAGGGACGTGTCCCCTTGCCCCTGGCACAGGCCAAGCGTCCTAAAGTTAACCATGGAGAATCCACGCTTTGTAAGGTGGATTAAGCAGTGATGTGCATCGATACACAAAGTTGTTCTAGACGATACCGATGCACCGATACTTGAAAATTGGCTAAACGATTCCAATGTGTGAAGACATTTAAAACGATATCGATACTAGTACATGCATCACCGATTCCCTATTGCAAGAAAAATATTTGATTTGGGATGTTTCATTCACTGTAAACAATGACCAGCAAAAAGAAAATCAAAATCATGCGCGGATTTCTTAAAGACTTACTCCACAGTAACAGCAACTGCACTAACAAATCTCAGGTTCGTCATGGAATTCAATGCATTAATATGGAAAATCAAAAGGCCGTTCATTTATCACCAAAGGGAAGAGGAGAGGGCGGCTGAGGCGAGAAAAGAGTGAGAAGAAAAAAACAAACACATACACAGCTAGATAGATATCTAGAGGGAAAGATAGAGTGAAAGGGGAAGGGGGAGGAGGATGGGAGAGAAAGAGGGAAAAAGAGAGAGGGGGGGGGGGAAGAAAGATAAAGGGAATGAGAGACAAAGGAGGGAAGTAAATAGAGAAGGAGAGAGAAGGGGAAAGACAGAATTATGGGAGATTTAACGTCATATGTATGATGTTTGTAGCTTAGTGTGTGGAATAGATTTTTTTTTTTTTTTTTTACAGTTTTTGTATCACTAAATTGTGTGTGATATCGCATGAAAGACGAAGCTTCGGGGCTGATTCAAAGCCTACGGGTCTGCTTGAATCCCGTGAATGAGATTGCTACGCGGTCAGACACTTGAGGCATGGCTTGTGTGGGTGGGTACGGGGCTCATCTGGAGTGTTCGATCGATCGGCCGCGGCGCTGGACTGTCACGTGAACAATTACTTTTGGAAAACAAGGGAAAGGGGTGGTAATGCATTTACTATCAGTGTTAGCACTTCAACCTGTAATTTTGTCGATAAAAATTAGTAGGAGAGAGATATATTGGATACGTGAGATTTGATGTTTTCAAGTGTAGTTTATATCTTTAGACGTGAATGTAGACCTGGGCTATCTTTAAAATAATGTGGTTTACAATTGTAACTCAAATGAAAAGTCCACCGCCAAGCCGTCCCGCCATTGCCTTGTGTGTGTGGGCTCCGGCGGTGTGTCAGTCATGGCATCACTGCTTTGTCAGGCCATGCAGTAACCTTGTTGATCGAGAACACTTGATCGTCCGTGATTAAGTGGAACGTCGTTCATCACTTTAATGAATACACACACGTACGCACACATACACTCCCCCCCACACAGATATATATATATAAACATATAAATATACATACATACATATATAAAAATGCATGTATAATGGATAGACAGAAATATGTTTTTGTATGAATGTATGTTTTCCTCATTAGTAATCAAATATCATTTAGTTATATATATATATATATATATTATATATATATATATATATATATATATAATATTTATATATATATATATATATATATATATATATATATACTCAAAGGAATCCTAAATTGTTATTATCTATTCTCTGAAATTGTGTTCTTAGCCTTAATTCCACTAGAGATACTCAGAATAACAACAGAAAATTTCTTTTAATGGTCTGCTTATCCGCATTTCTCCATATATCAATCACCTGTTTCTTCCTCATTTTCTTTACACAATGTTGTCCTCTGGACATAGGAAAATGAACACAAGTTTCTCGCTTTTCAGATTGGATTCCCCTGCACCTAGCCTCCCAAGAAGGTCACTTCGCAGTGGCTGAACTCCTGGCCACCAAGGGGACGGACCTGGAAGCGAAGACCAACCAAGGTAAGGCAATTTCAGAGACGACGGACGCAGTTGGTCCTGGTTTCCTTTTCTTTTTTTCCTTTCTTTTATTTATTATTTTTCTGTTATATTTCTAAGCACCATTCTTGAATTGCATATAGATGTTAGCTTAAGGTTGCAGGATTTGCTGGCATTGTTTATCTTCTGTTTTTATTATTAAAATAAGGATTTTTATAATCTAATTATTGCAATATTTTTTGCTTCTGGTTCATTTGCTTGTAATTAATGGATAGTTTCGATGGCAATTATTTTAGTGCTATGGTTATTGAAAGTAATCGGCTACGATAGGGAGAGAACGGAGGGAAGATAGGGCGAGGAAAATGGGGATAGGACGACGAGAGAAGGGCGTGGGGGAGGGATAATGCGCTTAGAAGCTGAGAGAAAAAGAAGAAGAGAGGAGAGGGGGAAGAGGGGAGGGAACGGAGGGAGGGAAGGGGGGGGGTCATAGTAGAGGAGCTCCGCGATTTTTAATAAATTATTTTATGTTGTATTTATCAGTAATGGAAGAACAGGAAAGTGTCTCTGGTCAAATGATAAGTTATTAGTGCCATTACATCCTAACAAAAAATGTATAATTAACATTAGCATGACTATGATTATTATCATAATAGTTCTAATAACAGTTTTTGGCCGTAGTTTCACTGAAATTCCATCATATTACTACTACTGCTATTGTCTGTCACTATTATCATCACCATACTCACTAGTATCACCATCTTATCATTATCAGTAGTGCAATAGTTCTTTAGTTCAAGATAGCAATCTAAAGGGAATATCGACTATCTCTGCTGTGCTGTTATTGTGTTTTCGTGAAAAATTAATGTTATTATCTTATTTTTCAAATGGGGCACATTTTCTGAGGTATCACAGGTGTCGCTCTGGCCCTTATTCGTATTTTACGTTGATCTCTATGTCATTTCTCTCCCTTCCTCCCTCGCTTCCTCCACCCTCGCCTCACCTTCCCTTTTTCCTCGCATTGTCCTCCGCCTTCCCTTTATCTCCATCTCCCTTGCCTCTCCCTTCTCTCCCCCTCCTCATCCCCCGCCTCCCTGCCTTCTCCCTTTATCCCGTCATGCTCCTGCTGAGTACTTTACGGTTATTGCCATAGTTGTTATTGTTATTGTAATTGCTATTATTATTATCATTATTATTTTTAGTATTATAAGTATCTTCGATTATCATAGATGTTAGTAGTAAACTATGATAATTATAAGTCTTTTTTGTATCAATTGTTGTTGATGATGTCATTATTTTGATGTTAGATTAGCACATCTACTATTAGATTATTGATATACATATTTGTATAATATGTTTGCATATATGTTGAGCTGCTATAACCCTCTCTATTAAAATTCCTTGCCATTAAGATATACTGCAGTCATTGCTGTCATGGTAATCACCGCGAGGAAACGGTAATCACGGGCAAGATATATGTATATATATATATATATATATATATATATATATATATATATATATATATATATATATATATATATATGTAGTCCCTAATCAGTGACCGAATGGAAGAGGGATTTAGAGTTTATATTCCAAGGGGAATACATTTCGAGTTTAGATTCCAAGGGGAATAGGGATTTAGATTTCTGAGCCTCATTGTTGCAAACGAAAGTATGACATGTTTTCAGCGAACTGGCAACCTAGTGCAATGAACTGATGTAAATGAAAATATAATTGATTGAATACTGTCATGCTGATCAAGAACTGAATGCTTTGCTTTCATTGACATTATACAAAATACAAAAAGCAAATATGCCAGCGAAGAGTTCCTTGAAAAAAGAAAGAAAGAAAGAACGAAAGAAAGAAAGAAAGAAAGAAGAAGAAGAAGACGATTGGGCATGGTGCTTCATGACTTGAAAATACTAGCCTCCCGCTGGGTCGCGATCATTTCCAAATTACTTAGAATCATCAATTACTAGGATTAATAGTCTAATCACGCTTTTATGTTGCATATTGTAAACACGGTTTCATGAAAGACTTCGGCAAAAACCAAAAGAAGTATTAAATATCCCAATTTGGTTTAACTCGCTTAATACATAAAAAGAGTGATTCAGCGGAGGAAATGTGAAGTGGGCTTTATTGTCCAAGGGGGCTGAAGGCTTAAGGGGTCAGCATAAGAGTAGTGATGGTGGTAATATAATGCTGATAAAGATGATATACATAATAATGATAACAATGATAAAAGCAGGCAAATACTACTAATAATAGTAATAACAATTACAATAATGATAATTGTACACTATTACTATCATTATCTTTATAATGATAGTAGAGTAATAAAGAGGATAGAAATAGTGATCATAATTATGATAATTCTTATCATTATTACTATTAATACTGTGGTGATGGAAACAGTAATATAAATATTGATTTTATTGCTATAATTATCTGTATTATTATTATTATCATTAATATTATTGTTGATGATGTCTTTATTATTGGTATTGTGAACATGATAATAATCATAAGAATATTCATCATGATAAAAATGGTAATGGTAATGGTGAGAATATAATGGAAAAGGATGATGTTCATAGTGATAGTAGTCATAATGAAAATGATAATGTAAGCTTTTGTGAAAGAGGAACCTAATTAGGGCCACCCGTGAGGCGGGAGACTTCAGGCTCAGGGGCCGAGGGAAATGAGGGGCCCGCTCGTTCCCCGAACAGGGGCTGAGGGGACCAAGGGAAATGAGGGGCCCGCTCGTTCCCCGAAGAGGGGCTGAGGGGACCAAGGGAAATGAGGGGCCCGCTCGTTCCCCGAACAGGGGCTGAGGGGACCAAGGGAAATGAGGGGCCCGCTCGTTCCCCGAAGAGGGGCTGAGGGGCCAAGGGAAATGAGGGGCCCGCTCGTTCCCCGAAGAGGGGCTGAGGGGACCAAGGGAAATGAGGGGCCCGCTCGTTCCCCGAACAGGGCTGAGGGGGACCAAGGGAAATGAGGGGCCCGCTCGTTCCCTGAGGGGACCAACCCGCTCGTTCCCCGAACAGGGGCTGAGGGGAAAGCTGAGGGCTCGGAACCAACACGACCTCGCAAGCAAAACTGTCCCCGAAGATGTAGGTCTACCAGGAGCGTGACCAATATGAAGATGAAACATGAAATAAAAAAAAATAATCCTAAAAGGAACAAACATAAGGTGCAGAAGGCACCAAAATAAACGTAAATGGAAGTGCCAGAAGGGCTTAAGAATGACTAAAAATACGCCAGAAGGGCCAGAAACAGTAAAACCTGCCAGAATGGCTTAAGAATTACTTTTGAAAATATGACCGAAGGGCATAAAAAAAACTGACAATACGTAAATACGTAAAATAAAAAAGAAGAGAAAAGAAAAGAGGTAGAGGTAAGGAGACATGAAAAAGTAAATGAAAATGTGATAAAATGTGAGACGTAAAAAAAAAAAAAAAAAAAATGGAGTAAAAGAGGAGTAAAAAGAGTAAAACGTGAATAAAAGAAGCGAGTGAAAGGACAAGAGAAAGACAAGCCAAATACGGAGTAAGTAAAAAGTAGAGGCAAAAAGAGCATACACGGATCAAAGTAAAATATAAAGTAAAAAATAAAGTCGCACGTCCAGCATGAATACACTTAGGCAAGTAAGAGGAGCAGTGCAACCTTGTTTCAGCGTCCACGATGTGAATCCAGTCAGGTATTCCAAAGGGTGAAGTCAGAGCACAGTCAAAGAATCCACTTCGTTTATTGTATAGAAACAAGGGGGTTAACTTAGTTCGTACGGACGAAGGCATAGCGGATAAAAACAATAAAATAATAAATAGGAAACATCATCATAAAAGAAAATATACATAGGATAAAAGAGGTAAAAGCAATAAAGCATTAAGGGAAATCAATATGAAAATTATAATTGGTATAGAAAATACGCAAAAGAAAATGTACATAAAATAAAGCATTAAATGAAATAATTTTTAAAAATCGTATTTAGCAATAAAAATACGATAAAACACTCTTCTGCGATTCAATAATGAAAATACTAAAATCAGTAGTTTTCTTTTGAGGTAAAAGAGAGATTAGAATAATTAACAAGTAAAAAGAAACCACTGAAAAGTAAAAGAGATAAGGTTAAAGATAGAAGGTAAGGCAAACGGGGAAAAGGAATGGGAAGGGAGGAATGAGCGTAGTAAAAGAGGGAAGCGAAGAAAGGGAGGAGCAAGAAGAGGGTGCGAATAAGAAGGGTACGAGGGGAAAAGCGGCAGGATAGGAATAGGATAGAGGCAGGATAGGTTGGAGATAAAGATAAAAGGCAGAACAAGCAGGAGAAAGAAGTAGAAGAGGGGAGTGAAAAAACCAGGGGACAAGAGGGTGTGAATAGAGGAGAGGGATATGAGAATAGGGGAAAGGAGGGTCGATAGGTAATGGGTAACCTCTTGTGTGTGTGGGGTGGGGGGGTGGGGGGGGAGATAATCTTACAATAAACAGACGCCGATGATGATAATATCGATAGTAATGGTTATAATATTATTCAGGCTACTAATAGCGATAATGATAATAGTTAAAGTGAAATTATGACACCGAAAATGAAATAAACGACAAACTGAAAAGGAACTGCCCTCACTTTCTCACTGCTTTAGTTTCTTGCTGTTTATCCTTTTGTTCCTTTCTACTAGCTATTATTTCTCTTGTTCCCCACATCGGTCTCCTTTATTCCTTTAATCTCGCTCTCCCCTTCTTTCTCCCTTTCTCTTTCTTTTAGCATGCTCCTCCCTTATTCCCCAACCTTCTTTCACTTTCACTCTCATTCCCTCACTCTGGTGACTGGACAAGTGGACAAGACTTAGAAGCTAATAACTGTCGTTCGTTTTCTAACAGCTGACTCGATTTCTCACTTCATCACCTTCATCTGATATCTTTATCTCGTTCTTTCCCTCTTGTTCTTCTCTTCCTTTATCTTCCCCCTCTTCCTTTCTGTTGCTTCTTCCGTCGACCTCATCCTTTCCACCCTTCCACTTTTCTTAATG